GACGGAGGGGGGGGGGTTGCCTGAGGCCACGCGTTTGGGGGGGAGGAAGGGGTTGCGATTGTTGACTCACAAGGCGGCGAGGGCGGCCGTCATGGGGAGGTCACAGCGGCGTCAGCATGAGCCTGCCCCGGACCATGTGCAGGAAACATTCAGGGGCCGCTCCCCTGTGTACCGTTACCTGGTTGTCGGCCAGAAGGTCGACAACAAGGGGGTCATGATGCTGCGTTGCACTTTTTGCAACAAAGTATTTCRGGGGAGCCAATTCCAGGCAACGAGGCATTTCACGCAGACGAACTACTGCAAGGACGTTAGCGACGAGGCTTTGTACGAGATCGCGCGACGGAGTCAACAGAAGTTCGAGAGCGATCAAATGGAGAGGGTTGCCAGGTACGCGGCGGAGCGCGGAGTCGATGTGCCTGGCACGGGTGGTGTGAGGGGAGGAGAGGCGGGGCAGCAGCCCCTGGAGGGAGCGTCAGGAGGGGTCGGGGGAGATGGTGGAGGTGGAGACACGGAGGAGGGCGCGATCGACGTCGATCGCGAGGCGCGTGTCCCGGGGGAGCAGGGAGTCCCGAGACACGAGGACGTGCCTGAGGTTTATCCAGGCACTGGGGAGAGGATGGAGGGCTTTTTGAGGCGAGCAGCCAAGGGACCTGTAGAGGAGGGTTCTTCCAAGAGGAAGGAATGTGGAACAGATCCGCCCGCCGCCCCAGCTGGGAAGAGGCATCGCCAGCAGAAGGTTACTGACGTCTACGGTGGCGAGTGGGTTGCTCGCCACAAGAAGACATTCCTTCGCTGACTCTATTCCATCGGGGTCCCCTTCAATGCCTTCCGCAACCAGGCTTGAAAGGCATACTAGCAGGTCCTTCTTGAGCAGCCTGGCAGTTCCCCGCGCGCTGTGCTCCACAGCCACATCGAGATTGCGAGTATGGAGGCGGTGGAGACCCACCGTGAGGAGCTGGCGGAGGAGTTGGAGGAGGTGAGGCAGCCGTTCTGGATCACTGGTGCCACCCTCCTCTCCGACGGGAGGAAATCACGAGACGGGAGACCGATCGTGAATTTCCTTGCCGCCGGCTCGCGAGGGGTTGTCGTCTACACGACGATCAATTGCGAGGGCGAGCCGGACAATGCAGTGCACGTCCTTCGGAGATGGGTGACCATCTTCCACGAGTTCAGTTTCGGCAGCCCGCAACAGGTCAATGCGATATGCACAAACTCCGCATCGGCGTACGTGGGGGCTGCGAGGGCATTGGCCTCGCCGGGCATCCCTCCTGCAATCAGGAGGATCACTTGGCTTCCGTGTTCCGTCCATGTCTGCAACAAATTGTTGTCAGATATGGGGACGAGTTGCGACGCGTTTGTGGACGCGCTTACACGCGCTCGTGTTCTGGTGGTGTTTTTCAAAACCCACCAGGCCGCCCTTTATTTCTTTAGGAAGTGCAGCCCCAACAAGGGGCTTGTGCTTTCTTGCGAGACGCGGTTCGCGTCTGTTTATTCTATGTTGGAGAGACTGTTGGCCCTGCAGGACGCTCTGCAGGCGATGATGCGAGGGGATGASGGGCGGGAGTTTGCTTCTATACCGTGGTCYGCCGATGTGTGCGACATGGCGCRTTGGGTGCGCCGGCAGATCAGATGGGAGCCTTGGTGGCACACGATGGCCACCATAATCCACATCATGCAGCCCGTCATGGAGCTGCTTAGGCGGATGGATCGTGGGGGGCAGTACATGTCCCTCATGATCGAGTGGACACAGGATCTTGTCCGTCGTGTCACTGATGCATGCGCTCCTTTGGGGAGGGTTTTCGCTGACCGCATCATCAGGCGTGTGCAGGCTCGCACATAGCACATGCTGAAGCCTGCTCACTACGCGGGGTTCTTACTGAACCCCAGCAGGCGACATGTTGAGTACTTTTCGGGCGAGGTGAGGGATTACCCTCGTTGGCTTGTAAGGCAAGCCAAGAGGTACATTTTGACGTAGACGGGTTACGAGGAGGATGGTGTGGAGTACATCATTGCATGTCGGCAGTTTGAGGACTTCCACATGCAGCAGGGCACATTTGGGGATTGGGGAGGGGGGGAGGGGCGTGCTCGTGGGCGTGCTTACAGCGGCGACAGGGAGATGATTGAGTGCACGTCCTGGTGGTCTCAGTACGGGTTTGGCGCACCTGAGTTGCAGCGCTGCGCTCTTCGTGTGATGCACATGTGGTGTTGCGCCTCTCCAACGGAGAGGAACTGGGCAGTCCACGAGGGCATTCACACGAAGAAGCGCAACCAGTTGGCCTTTGAGAAGGTCGTTCAGCTGGTTGAGATCACCGCGAATGTGCGGTTGTCGGAGTATCGGCGGGCTGGGTGTGGTTATGTGCTGCCATGGCAACGGGACGAGGGCATGCTAGACTGCCAGGCCGGACTGGAGTGGGAGCCAGTGCGCACGGGCACGCGCAGGGGGATGATGCCGGAGGAGATTGCCTGTCAGGTTGCGCTTATCACCCAGGATCCCATCGGGGTCTCTGCACCACCCACCGCTGAGGCCGTATTCGGTAGACGTGCTTCCATTTTCCGTCCTTACCCCAGGGAGGATAATTCCGACGAGGAGCCGGTACCCGAGACAGCGGACCACCCCGCGCTCCGCATTCCCTGTGAGATCGGCGAGACAAACCTCGAGGAGGACACCAGGGCGCATACTGCACGACGGCGGCTGACAGGGCGGAGAGGGAGATGATGGGGGGAGAGGAGGAGTTGTGGGGACCGTTCGGGGAGGTCGCTTCGACGGGCGGCACAGGAGCGCGAGCGACGAGCCCCGCTCCGACGAGGCAGGAGTTGTCCATGCCGCCACCTTCTGCTCCGAGTCCTGCACCGCCATCGCCCGTCGCGCCATATGAGCTGACCACGGCAGCAGAGGACACGGAGGAGTTGGCGTCCTCTTTGCCTCAGCGCGGACTACTCCACAGAGGCGGGGCAGTCCGACAGCTGAGGTTACGATCACCTTCTCCGGGGGTCTTGCAGGAGGAGGGGGGACCGTCGGCAGCAGCAGTGGAGGGGGAAGATGGCAGTGGAGGGGGGATTGGCGGACACAACGATTGCAGGTGTGGTGGACCAGATAGTTGTAGCAGCAGCGGCTTCATTGCTAGAGGAGATGGAAGCTTCAGTGTTGGCGGAGGAGGCACCAGCGCCAGGGAGAGCAGATGCAGTGGAGGGGCAGGCGGGAGCAGCGGGAGGAGCAGCTCGAGGAGCAGCCGGTGGAGCAGCTGCACTGGATAGGCTTGCAGCGAGACGAGGGTCGGATGCAGTGGGGGGGGGAATGCCAGGAGCAGTGGAGGAGGAGATAGGGGCACAGGCGAAGGTTTCGCGTGGGGGCGGCGACGAGCGCTTCATGCAGCAGTTCCTCACGGAGCAGTACGATCCGGTCATGGCGGGTATGACCCCAGGTGTGGCGAGGGGGTTGGGGATGTCGGATTCGCAGATAGGGAGCCAACTGGACTTAGATTTGTCGATGGGCCTTCCACCTAGTTGCGGCGGGGCGACATCGACGGATCGCGCTCCATCGAGGGACGACACGGCTGGAGAGAGTCTCACGCAGCCCCATAGAGTGACGATGACTGCGTCTCCGGATGCAGCACACGACATCCTAGAGCGAGAGAGGGCTCGACTTAACCCGCGTGCTCAGGCATTCGCACGGGCGTTGGAGGACGCGAGGCGTTGAGAGACAGGTGGGGATTGTGTGGAGGGTGGGGTCACTGGAGTGGTTGCGGGGGAGGATGTTGTGGAGAGGGTGGCAGTCGAGGCAGGGGGGGGGGGGGGGGGGGGGGGGGGGGGGGGGGGGGGGGGGGTGTGCGGGGTGGGGTGGTGGCGGGGGAGGACGTTGTGGAGAGAGTGGTGGCACGAGCGGACGCTGAGGCTGTGCAGGGTGGGCGATCGGCAACGGATGTTCATGTGGAGGGCTTGCAACAGGCGGTGGATGAGGCTGTGCAGGCAGGACGGCGGCGAGACGAGGGTGTGGGTGACGCACGATGTGTGGTCCGGGAGACAACGACAGGTCTAGTCGTTCCGTTCTCGGGCCTGCACTTGGCTCAGGGCCGACAGTCGCAGCCGGTGCCGGTGGAAGTGCATGGTGTGCCGCCGCCCGTTATCACGGATTTGGGGCCCGAGCCGGTGGTTGCGCCACTGCGTCTTCCTAGTCACTTTGCTCCGCAGGAGGTCCGCCGTCCTTTGGATGCAGACGAGTTGGCGAGAGAGGCTGTCCGCGATGTGACTTGCTTGGACCGGCGGGTCATTGACCAGAGGCTACAACATCCACCATGGCAGGCGATCCCTCCAGATCCATGGGGTCCTGCATCGCCGGTGTGGTCTGGGTCTACCTCCACCGGAGCACGTACGGCGGGAGATGTTCCAGGGGTTTCAGGTGGCGTCGTGGAGACGGCGCCACGTTCACGAGACATGCCACCCCCTCCTCCTAGACCACCTGTAGGTGATCCGTCATCGTCGCCCACAGGCAGAGGCTCTCGATCTCCACACACGCCTAGGAGGTCTAGGATTCGGGACACTACAACCGTTGTGGGGGACGTGAGTGACACAACGTTGTTCGGGAGGACAGACATAGATTTGGATTCCACCCGCCGTGTCACGGAGCACAGTGCGCGTCTACAGCCGGGTTTGGGACCCCGCGGCGGCAGGATGACCGCAGCAAGGGAGGTGGCTGCATCAGGTTGTGAGCCTCAGCGAGGTCGCGACAGAGGAGTGTCCGCCGATAGCTTGGAGTACGCTCTGATGGCAGCGACGCCTGCCGTACATGAGCAGACTCCACGCAAGCGCAGAGTGCCTCCTCGTCCACGCCCTGTACCCGCAGAGGGAGGAGATGCACTTGGAGAGACTTCGGGGGCAGAGGGGTTGGGGATGCCTCGTGGATCGCGCCGTGAGCAGACGGTTATAGAGGCTAGTGCGAGGGTTGTTGTGTTGAGGAAGGCAGGAGCCCCTGTTACCATCGAGGAGGATGATCTTGAGACAGATGTGGCAGTGCGGGAGGAGGACGAGGACTATGAGGGCGAGGAGGAGTGAGAGGAGGAGAGCAAGAGAGGTTCCGATGGTGACTACGACCACGACGAGCACGAGCCCCCACCTCCCCCACCGAAAGGTGCAGGCAGACGACGCGCTGCGCAGACTTCTTCATCATCACGAGGGAGGAGGAGTTCGACATCCGACACGCGAGGGGGTACGAGGAGACAGAGCGGGAAGGGGAAGAAGCGTTGTTGACTGATGAGGCCAACACTCATTTTTTCCCCTGCTCGCACTGAGGTTCGTCATGTTGTGCGGTCCTATTTTTTTTTGTCGTCTCGTCTTGTCTTAGTGTTGTTAAGCTCTCAGTGGTTGTGTGCGTGCAGCGTGCTACAAATGTATTAGATGATGTTTCCTTTGTTTTCGGTGTGTATGATTTTGGTACCAGTATGGTGTTCGTAGAGTAGCGTTGTACCAGTAGGGTGTTCGCAGAGTAGCTACGACACGACTTGTACACTACAATTTCGTTTGTTTTTTTTCGACATGTGGTACCACTGCCTTAGCAGTAGCCTGTAGGATACATTGCATATGTTGCATTTTTCATTTTTGTTTTCAGTGAGAGGTACTTTGCGTCGTTGAGGACTTTTCATGCAYAGTACACCATGTACTGTTTCAGTTTCGATTGATGCTCGTCGTGGTCGGCGTGCGCGAGCTTTCGTGACCATTTTCATCAGGTGTGATTTTATATATTTCATTGTTGTTATCATTTGCAATCTCATTTCCTGCGTTTGACGCCGTTTGTTTCTTGTACAATTCTACTTCAGTTTTTTGCCTGAAGAGTTGCTTGTGTGCTTGTTCTTTCTTTTTTTCTTTTCTGTGTTGATTGTTGAATCAAATTATCATTGCATGAAGTACTAACTGATATTTGGGGGGGGAGGGGTTGGATGCGAACTGGTAAATGGGGGG